TGGGCCTCTTGTTTTATGTTGTTAACTCTTGGCACAGTTGAGTGTTTAACATTACAGTTAGATCGCCTACCCAACTTTATAGAGAGTTAAGGCCCTTTGTACACTGCATCAGTTTTTAGGAGCATGTTTCACAAAATGTTCTATGTAGCCTAAAATTGCCATAGTTATGACATTTTGTTTATATTCATCACCTTAATTTGATTTAAGGTTTCATGGTTTGTATGCAAAATTTTTGTGATTGACATTTTACAGCTAAGTATACTGATGTCTGCTGTATAAATATTTATCATTTCACCAATAAATCCCAGTTCTGATGCATATCAAGATGAATGACTGATTTTTATAATTTTTTTAAACAATCATGCTTATCATATATAACAGTGATGGACACATGTCCTGTTGTACCATTCTGTTGAGTGAGACTTAAATTTAAAACTGAAATTAATGTACCGGTAATGTATGTTCATTAAGACGATCCAATTACCATACAGGTCAGGAAATGTCAAAAATGTTGAGATAAAAATACAGGGTATTTTGACTGATTTGTTATGTATAATTGATTCCACATTTACAATACATTTGTTAAATTTCATATAACTTAGTAAACTTTTTTGTAACTCTTAATTGATTGGTTTATTGATATTTTAGGAACTATTTTCCATCAGGAAGTGACTGTGTACTACTGGCCACAGTTAATTGATATATAAAACCCTAAAATTAAAGTAAAAAAACATATTTTTATTTACTCATCATACTGAAGTTGAAACTTAAATGATCTGGTGTACCTGTATTTAGGATGTCATACTTGAAGACCACAGTTCATGCGTCTACTGGAGAGGTAGAAAAACAGGACTCCGGAGAGTTGCTTGAAGCAAAGGAGGAGGGAGATGAGGAAGAGGGTGCACAGACAGAAAAGAAAAAGAAGAAGAAAATTGGTTTCAGGGACCGCAGGGTAACCATCCTATATGGAGATTTGAATGATTTCACAGTAACTTGTTTAAGACATAGTCACTAATACTGATAACTTGATATACATGTACTTATAGAAAGCTGAAGGGTATGTAAGACTAGATATATAGCATCTCATGTGTAGTTATCTGTTTATCAAGTTGGTATCACCTCATACAATGTGTTACATTTTGCCCTTCTGAAATTAGGGAGATAGAACATGGTCTAGTAACATTGAATATTGTGCTGGAGTGTTCAGTGCAATGTATTAAAACATTATCTCATCAAACCAACAGAAAACATTCAGACATCTATATCTATATACTAGATGTATATTGAGCAACAGATTTCAGAATTTCTATACTCAATGACTGTAATAATTGGTGTAAGGGGAGATAAGTCTCTGAGAAAGTCTCTGCAGCAATATACTTAATGTCATGAAAGTATTGAAACATGAATATAATACTAAACCCCTATCGTGTAAAGTAACTATTCAATACCATCTACTACTACTAGTTAGTATCCTTGCAAAGTTTGTTGAAGTGACTTGCTCATTCTAACATCTGTGATAAAAATAATATTCAATGTTGCTTTGCAGATAATAGAATATGAAAATCGTATCAGAGCTTACTCCACCCCAGATAAAATATTTCGCTACTTTGCAACATTGAAAGTGCACCAGGAACAAGGTGACTGGGAGGTGTATATGACTCCTGAGGACTTTGTTCGCTCCATCACACCAGGAATGAAGCAGCCAGAGGGTACGGCTAAGTACACTTTCATAACAACAAAATTCTTAGCAACTCGGAACAAAAATATTTCAGAAGTTTTAATTGTACATGGATTGCAGCTGCCTTCTAGTTTTGTGATCGAGGGAATTTTATTTTAGCTCAGTCGGTAGAGCAGAAGGACAAAAGCTGGGGTTACTGGTTCAATCCTTAGTGGCAGTATATATCAAATATTGTATATTTATTTTTTAGCTCACCTGGCACAAAGTGCCAAGTGAGCTTATGCTGTG